TGTGTGAGAAAATATGAAGTATTTGTCTTTCTGAATTTGGCTTATTTCACTTAACACCATGATAACCCAGAACCATCCATTTTCCTGCAAGCGACATAATTTCATTCTTTTTCATGGTTGAATAATATTCCATCTCGTCATATGTGTGTGTGTGTGTGTGTGTAGCATTTTCTTTATCTATTCCTCTGTTGATAGATACCCAGGGTGATTCCACAACTTGGCTTGTGAATTGTGCCACAATAAACATAGCTAGATATGCATGGATGCTATGTAGAGTAATGTTTTCAAGGTTCATCCAAGTTGTGTTAGGTACCAGGACATCCTTCCTTTTTAAAGCTAATAGTATTCCTCTGTATATAAGAGTCACATTTTGTTTATTTGCTCATCTATTGATGTACATGGATCAGTAAAATAGATAAAAGCTCATCAACTTTTCATCAAATTACCTTTTTTTGTTGTGGTGGTGCTGGGGCTTGAACTCAGGGCCTTCATCTTGAACCACTCCACCAGTCCTTTTTGTGATGGCTGTTTTTGAGATAGGGTCTCCCAGGCTGTTTTGCCCAGGCTGGCCTTGAACCACGATCCTCCTCATCTCTGCCTCCTGAGTAGTGAGGATTACAGGTGTGAACCACCAGCACCCGGCAAAATCACCTTTTTTTTGTTGGAGGATGGTACTGGGGTTTGAATTCAGGGTTTTACCTTTGCTAGGCAGGCACTTCATAGCTTGAGCCACACCTCCAGACCTCAAATCACCTTTTGACTAGAGTTAACAATGCTGCCCTAAGTATGGATTTACAAATGTATGTTTGAATCCTCGCTTCCAGTAATTCTGTGTATATACCTAGGATTACAATTGCTGGATCACATGCTAATTCTGTGTTTAACTTCTTGACGATACTTGTCAACTTTTAAAGAACTTTCCAGCCAGGCCTCCCTGTAATTCTTGTTACTCAGGAGGCAGAGATCAGGAGGATTGCAGTTTGAAGGCAGCCTGGACAAATAGTTCTCCAGAGCCTATCTCAAAAATACCTGTCACAGAAACAGGGCTGATGGAGTGGTTCAAATGGTAGAGCACCTGCCTAGTAAACCTGAGGCCCCAAGTTCAAACCCCAGTGCTGAAAAAAAAAAATCCCGTAAATCAAGAAAATTGCCCTAATCATTACTTGTAAGTTTCCTCTTTGTCATTTGATTTTGCTTTTGGTGGGGTTTTTTTGGGGTTTTTTTTTGGGGGGGGAGTTGAAAAGTTTCGTGTGTGTACTGGAGCTGGAACTCAAGGTGTTGTGCTTGCTAGCAAGTACTGTACCCCTTGAGCCACTTTCCCAGCCCTTTTGCTTTTGGGTTTTTTTCAGATAGGGCCTCACACTTTTAACCTCAATCCTACCTCCACCTCCCAAGTGTCTGGGATTACAGGTTTGTACCACGACACCTCGCTTTGTTTGATTTGGTAATAGAACTGTCTGGTTTTTCTTTAGTTGCTTTTGGATTCTGAGTCATTGTTTCAGTGTTAGAAAGCTTTGCCCATAGCTAAGTTATAAAGTAATCCACAGTGTTTCCATCTAGTACTTGTGTGGTTTCTATTTTCTTTTAACATTGAACTCTATGTGGAGACAACCTACAGAACAGGAAAAATACTTGGAAACCATACATCTAATAATGGGTTAATATCCAAAATGTATAAGGAACTCAGTTTAATGGAAAGAGAACAAATACGATTTTAAAATGGCCAAAGGACTTAATAATCTTTTTAAAAGAATATATACAAATGGCCACCTGGTATGTGAAAAGGTGAGTGATATCACTAGTCATCAGGTGGATGCAAATAAACCACTGAGCTATTACCCCACACCTGTGAGGATGGCTGTCACTGAAAAGACAAAAGATAATAAGGAAGTAAAGAAAACGGAACTCTGCACCCAGTTGGTGGGAATGCAAATCTGTGCAGCCCTTATGGAAAACAGCTCAGAGTCTCCTCAAAGAGTGAAGAATGGGGGGCTGGAGGAATGGCTCAAGTGGGAGAGCACCTTCCTAGCAAGTACTGAGCCCTAAATTCAACCCCCAGTGAAGACTAGAACTATCAGTAATCCAGCAATCCCTCTTCTGGGTATATGGCCAAAGGAAATGAAGTCAGTATGTCAAAGAGATCTCTGATTATTACATAGCTCTATTCAAACAGCCAAGATCAGTTTAAATGTACATCAATGGATGGATGGATGAATTTAAAAAAAGTATATACTGAATGCACAATAGAATTCTATTCAGCCTTTAAAAAGGAGTGGCTCAAGTGTTAGAGCACCTGCCTAGCAAATTCAAACCCCAGTACTACATTAAAAGAAAAAAAGGATATTTTTCAGTAATGTGAATAAATCTGGAGGACATTATGTTAAGTGACGTGTGTCAGGCACGTGATCTCACTTATATGTGGAATCCAAAAAAGCTGAACTGCTGGAAGCAGAGAGCAGAATGCTAATTACCAGGCCTGAGCTGGGTTAGGAGGCAGACTGGGGACATACCAGTCAAAGTTGCAGTTGGACAGTAAGGTTAAGATATCTGTTATTCAGCCGGACTTCAGTGACTCATGCCTATAATCTAGTGTCTCAGGAGGCAGAGATCAGGAGGATCCTGGTTCAAAGCCAGCCTGGGCAAATAGTTCATCCAAGACCCTATCTCGAAAAAAACCATCGTAAACAAAAGGTCTGGTGGAGTGGCTCAAGTTGTAGGCCCAGAGTTCAAACTCTCTCCAAAAAGAGAGAGAGAGAGAGAGAAAGGTCTGCTACTCAAAGTGGTAACACTGTTAACATTGTTAATAACTATTACATTGTGGGAATCTTTTTGAGGTTTGGGGGCTTTGTTTTTATCTTTTTGGTACTGAGCTTGACCCTTACTATATCTAAGCACTTAATTAATACTGAGCCATATTCCCAACCCCTGCATTATTTTTTCAACTTGAATATCGGGGGAAAAATACTATTTAATAATCTGTGAATCTTATTTTATCTTTTTTTTTATTACAAAACTGTTGTTCCCCCTTTGAGATACCACATTATAGGATGTTCAGTTTCCATATGAACTTCAGTCTATTTCCATCCTTTGGTTATGTTCCATTGGTCTCTCTCCCTAGAATCCAGTTATTTATTCACCCACAGTCCATAACCAAAAGCCTAGTATATTCTGGTGGTTAGTTACAACAGTTAGTGAAAAAGACATTAGTTTGCCTTTGGGAAGAAAATAATCAGATAAGTAAATGAAATCCAGTTCTAAATGACCAAGTGTCATGAAGACAGGCACAAGATGTGAGAAAGACAATGAAAGTATGTGTTTTGGTTAACAAGCTTGAGAGCTTTTTTGGGAAGTATGACAGTTTGGTTTTTTTTTTTTTTTTTTTTTCTTAGTTTGGGTTTTGCTTTTTTGAGACAGGGTCTTGCTATGTAACCCAGGCTGGCCTCAAACTCACAGTCCTGCCTCCTAAGCGCTGGGATTACAGGCATGAAAGTGCAAGTTTTCATCTGAGACCTGAAAGATAAGAAAAGGGGCAGCCAGCTGGGCATGGGTGGCTCATGCTTGTAATCCTAGCTACTCAGGAGGCAGAGATCAGAGGAGTGTAGTTCAAAGCCAATGTAGGCAAATAGCTCAAGAGACCCTATCTCGAAAATAATCACAAAAAAGAGCTGATGCGGTAGCTCACAGTGTAGGCCCTGAGTTCAAACCCCAGTACCACCAAAATAAAAGAAAAAAAAAAAGTTGGAAGCATGGCTCAAGTGGTAGAGTACCTGCTTAGCAAGCGCAAAGCCCTAAGTTCAAACCCCAAGACCACCAAAAGTAAAAGCAAAAATGAAAAAAGAAAAATAATAGGGATTCCTTATCCATGAGAAATGTCCAGAATAGGCAACTTCACAGAAACAGAATTAGCATTTCTCTACCTTTGGTGGTTGTCCAGGGCTGGAGGGTGTAGAGGTGGGGAGTGACTGCTTCATTGCCCTGAGTTTTCTATTTCGGTGATGAAATGTTCTCAAGCTACAAAACCACTGAATTGCAAGTGTCATAATTGTTTAAATGGAAAATTTCATGTTATATGAATTTTACCCAAATTAAAACTATAGAAACACTTTTAAAACATATAGATAGAAGTGGGGCATGGTGGTGCATATCTGTAATCCCTGCACTCAGGAAGATTGTGAGTTCAAGAGTAGTCTGGACTACTTAGCAAGATCCTGTCTCATTGTGGGGGAGGGAGGGATAAAGGAGAATGATGGAGGGGGTGAATTCAACTATGATATATTGTAAGAACTTTTGTAAATGTCACAATGTACCCCCAGTACAACAATAATATAATTTAAAAAAAAGAATTTAATCAAAAAAGATAGGTAGATGATAGATTGATAGATAGCTAAATTGATAGATGATAGCTAGATCAGTGATAAATAGATTGCTAGATGGTGATAGATAGACAGACAGACAGACACACATGCTATGGCACTGCTCCTATACATTTTTCATTCAATTTGGGGTGATGCTTGGACAATTGTATTAATGGGCTTCCTGGGTGACTCTGATCCACATCAAAATTGAGAACCCCTGGCTTAATTTTTCTTCTTTCTCCCTCCTGGGACTGTCTGGGCTCTTACCATATTTGTGCTTTTATGTGCTTTTTGGAAATTTCTCAGTATTTGAGACTAATATTAAGCCATCCCCTTTTTTAAAATGTGTTTTTTGTCGTTCTTTTAAAAAAATTTTATTAGTATATATTAGTTATACGAGGGGTTTCGTTGTGACATTTACATATGTGCTTACAATGCACACCCATTCACTTTCAATGGCATTTTCATTTTGTCTTCCCAATTTGTTTTTGATGGGCTTAGGGTTTGAACTCAGGCCCTCACGCTTGCAAAGCAAGTGCTCTACCACTTGAGCCACGCCTTGGACCTGTCTTCACGATTTTACTATGGAGTTTTTATTTTTAATTGGCAAAAATAGTTTGTGTTCACTTTTTTCTTGTTTTCCAGACCTGAAGTCCAGGTGTGAGACATGTCCACAGCCAGGTATTTTTGGAATAGAGCCATTCAGTTGGGAGCTGATGGAAAGCCTTAAATACGGTGGCCTGGAGGGCTCCCGTCTCAGAGATGTCTGGGAATGCCATGGCTCATTGGAGAGACCACAAGGTAACCAGGAGTGCAATTTCAAGCCAGTGAAAAGCTATGAAAATGAGCCCACCTTCCAGCATCACACGTCCCTTAGCCTCCATCCACGCAGTGGACCTAGCGAGAAACTGATGGCGTGCCGTGAGTGTGGGAAAGCCTTTAGCCGTGGCTCCCACCTTACTCAGCACCAGAAAACTCACACTGGCGAGAAGCCCTTTGAATGTAAGGAGTGTGGCAAGGCCTTCAGTCGCGCATCACACCTTGCTCAGCATCAGAGAATTCACACTGGCGAGAAGCCTTATGACTGCAAGGAGTGTGGGAAGGCCTTTGGTCGCACTTCAGAACTTACACTTCATGAGAGACTTCATACTGGTGTCAAACCCTACGAGTGCAAAGAATGTGGAAAGGCCTTCCGGCAGCACTCACAGCTCATTCTGCATCACAGAACTCACACAGGTGAGAAGCCCTATGTATGTAAAGATTGTGGGAAGGCTTTTATTCGTGGCTCCCAACTTACTGTTCACAGGAGAATTCATACTGGTGCTAGACCTTACCAGTGTAAAGAGTGTGGGAAAGCCTTCAGACAGCACTCACAACTGACTGTCCATCAGCGCATCCACACTGGGGAGAAGCCCTACGAATGCAAGGAGTGTGGAAAGGGCTTTATTCATAGCTCAGAAGTGACTCGGCATCAGAGAATTCATTCTGGGGAGAAGCCCTATGAATGTAGGGAGTGTGGCAAGGCCTTCCGACAGCACGCACAGCTTACTCGCCATCAGAGAGTTCATACCGGTGACAGACCCTATGAATGTAAGGACTGCGGAAAGGCATTTAGTCGTAGCTCATACCTTATTCAGCATCAGAGAATTCATACAGGTGACAAGCCCTATGAATGTAAGGAATGTGGGAAAGCCTTCATTCGTGTTTCCCAACTGACTCACCACCAGCGAATCCATACCTGTGAGAAACCCTATGAGTGCAGGGAGTGTGGGATGGCCTTCATTCGCAGTTCACAGCTTACGGAACATCAGAGGATTCATCCGGGTATCAAGCCTTATGAATGTAGACAGTGTGGGCAGGCCTTTATTCTTGGCTCACAGCTCATTGACCACTACAGAACTCACACTGGATAGGAAGCCTCACATGCAAGGGGTACAGAAAGCTGCTAGGGGAGCTCACCCTGGCTCAGTACTGCTCATTTACATTGTAATGTAATCCATGTCATCAAGCCATCTTCTGCCACTTCCATTATGGAACATCATAGAACACATTCCAGAAGAAAAGTCAATAAATGTAGAGTCCATTTTGCCTCACTCAGTGTTTATTAAGTGTTAAGTATTTATTAAGCATCAGAGAACCTATGCTAAACAGAGTAAACACAAACATAGAAAAGCCTCTGTTATCACTCAAAATAGGTTAAATTTCTGAGAATTTCAAATAGAAAGTAAAATATTTTGTGGCTTAGCATGCCTAGAGGATAAGCTGGCCTAGAGGATAGCTTGAGCCCAAGAGTTTGAGAACAGCCTGGGCAACGGAGCAAGGTCCCATCTCAAAAAAGAAATTGTGAGAGTGCCTTTGGCATGGCATAGATTCTGCCTGACATTGTCTTTCTTCCATTGACTACTGACTGTGTCACTGGACAAATCATTGAATCTTTCTGTCCCTTGTCCCTCAGTTTGATTTATTTTTATTTGTTAGTGGTAATAATTTGCCTACCTAGGAGAGTTTTCATGAGGACTATATCAGGTATTTTATAAAAAGCCTTGGAATGAATATCTAGCATGTATGTGTTCACAAGTAGTAGCTGTTGTCAGTAATTTTATTATCAGCATCCCTGTCAAGGAGCTCATGTAAGGGGAGGGCCTCATGGATGTCTAATAGCAAAAAGCCTTCACAATCACTTACTATAATTCATTCCAAAAACAGCAGTGGAGCATTAATTATCACAGGAGGCCTTCATTCAAAAGGCTAGAAACTCAGATTAGAAATGAACAGAAGAGTAACTAGATGAAATGTGCCCACTTAGAAGTCAAAACTACCTCTTAGTGTTACTTAATTAAAAAGGAAATCAAAACTAAAACTATGGCTTGGCGAGGGTGGCTCATGTTTATTGTCCTAGCTACTTGGGAGGTTGAGATTGGAGGATTGCTCTTTAAGGCCAGCCTGGGCAAATAGTTTGAAATATCCAGAGCAAAACGGACTGGAGTTGGTGTGGCTCAAGCAGTAAAGTGCCTACATTGCAAGTGAAAAGCCACAAGTTCAAATTCCAGTCCTACCAAAAAAAGAAAGAATAATTTAAAAAAAATCAACTATACAAATGAATGACTACTAAAAACCATTTTAGGGTAAAGATGATCAGTACATTATGTGTATGAAAACGTCACAGTGAGTGCTCCTTCGGCAGCACATACAGTAAAACTGGAACGATACAGAGAATATTAGTGTGGTCCCTGTGCAAGTACGACACAAATTCATGAAGCACTCCATACTTTAAAAAAGTCACAATGAAATCCACTATTTTGTACAATTAATATACACTAATAGAAAATTAAGAGCAAAAGCAGTTCTTTACAGTCAAAGCTGTACTCTAGTCAGAACCCCAAAATCAAAAGTCAGGGATCTAGTTCTCACGTGAGCATCTCTAAGTCATTCCCAGTCACTGAATGGTCACTGAATGAACAATCAACGCTAAAAGTTGGGAAAAAACCAACAGCAGTAAGAATGATTATTAAAAATAAAAGATTAATAAAAAATAGGAAACAAAATCAGGTGCATGTGGCTCACGTCTGTAATCCTAGCTACTGAGGAGGCTGAGATCAGGAGGGTCGAGGTTCAAAGCCAGTCCCAGCAAATAGTTCACAAGCCCCATCTCAAAAACAGTCATCACAAAAAAGAGCTGCTGAATGGCTCATGTGGTAGAGTGCCTGCTTAGCAAGTGTGAGGCCCTGAGTTCAAACCCAGTACCATCAAAAAAAAAAAAAATGGTAGACAACCTGAAGGTTGCTTATTTAACAATACAAACTATTAGTGTGATTTAGAAAAAAATTATGATGAAGAGGATATAGATTTTGTTTTTACTATCCATGACTTTATTCTAAAATATTTAAAACTCTAGAGAGAATTTTTACAAAAATAATTGGTTCAAGAAGGTGTGGAATACCAGAATAAATCCATGATTACAGTACGACAAAAAGCTTAACAAGGCTAGCCTGTATTCCTAGCTCTGGGGAAGCTGAGGCAGGAGGATTGCAAGTTCAAGTTGAGCCTGGGCTACATAAGACCCTGACTCAAAAAGTTATCAAAACTCTTTCCCTTTAAAGAAAACATTTCAGGGACTGGAAGTGTAGGTTAGTGGTAGAGCACTTGTCAAGCATGTGCACAGTCCTGGCAGTCCTACTAGCACCACAAAAAAAAAATAACAAAATAAAACTACAGGGAACAGATAATCCCTAAGAAAAGCTTGCCAGTTCATTTTCAAGGCTAAATAAAATTCTGATTAAGGAAAAAAGCTACAGGGCCAGCAGGCCAGCAAAGTGGCTCAAGTGGTAAGAGTGCCTACCTAGCAAATGTGAGGCCCTGAGTTCAAACCCCAGTGCTGCCAGAAAGGAAAGAAAAAAAAAAAACTACAAAGCCAGCACAGGTGGCTCACACCTGTAATCCTAGCTACTAGGGAGGCTGAGATGGGGGAGGATCAAGGTTTGAGACCACCCTGGGCAAATAGTTCATGAGACCCTATCTTCAAGATAACCAGAGCAAAATGGACTGGAGGTGCAGCTCAAGTGCAGAGCACCTGCTTTGCAAGTGCAAAGCCCTGAGTTCAAATCCCAGTCCCACCAAAAAGAAAAAAAACACATAAGATATAACTCTAGAAGCTGGGCATCAGTGGCTCATGCCTATAATCCTAGCTACTCAGGAGGCAGAGATCAGGAGGATTGTGTTTGAAACCAACCCCAAACAAATTGTTCACAAGACCCTATCTCGAAAAACCCATCACAAAACAGGGCTGGTAGAGTGGCTCAAGGTGAAGGCCCTGAGTTCAAGCCCCAGTACTGAAAAAAAAAATGTAACTCCTAAAAACAATTGTAGATCATTGTTATTTACAAAGATAAATATAAATAAAATTGCAGTTTATTTAATTCAACATTCTATTAATATTAAGAAGGTAACTTTAAGTGGAGTGTCTTCACCTATTCTTGGAAATTTGAAATAGTACTTTAGGGAAAGACCCTTGATCCAGTCGCAGTGACTTCTGGACCACGGCTTGTGAGTGAGCCTCAGGAACGTGGAGAAGCCACCCCGTGGCCCCTGGGGTAGCCAGGCAGAGTGTAGGGCGAGGGCCAGCGCTCTGTGACCAGCCATCCTATCAGTCATCCTGAGTGTTTGTGAGAAACTCCTGCATTTTCTGTACGTGCCATTGCCTACAACAGATTAGAAAACTGGACTGGCAGAGTGGCTCAAGTGGCAAAGCACCTGCCTAGCAAGTGTGAGGCCCCGAGTTCAAACCCCAGTAACGTCAAAACAAAAAAATGCTGAGAATACTATCTTCATGCCACTATATAAAGGATAGTGTTCACATTTCTATTTTTTTCATGAATGTCAATTTTTTTTTGGTGGGACTGGGGTTTGCAGTCAGAGCTTCGAACTTGCAAAGCAGTTGCTCTACCCTTTGGGCCACACCTCTAGTCCATTTTGCTGTGGTTATTTTGGAGGGGATTTCATGATCTGTTTGTCTGGGCTGGCCTCAAACTGTGATCCTTTCATTCTCAGCCTCATTATAGGCATGAGTCACCAGCACCTAGCTTCAGTTTTTAATTTTAAAAAATGTTATCAGTATCCGAATAATGTCCACAAATTACAGTTGATTTTTTTCAACTGCAGCTTCTTGTTTTTGAAGAAAGTATGTTATTGCCTTGTAGGGTTTCCTGAGCCTTGTTTTTGCTGGCTGCATCCCCAAGGTGTTATTAAACTTGCTTCTCTGTCCCCGGTGTCTCCTGTAAATTGGTAGCTAAAATTTGGAGACTTGGTCAAGTAGAGATTCACTCTGTTAAGATTATTCAAAAGTGATTAATATTAAGAGACAAAGCTGGAACATGACTCAGGTGGTAGAGCACTTTCTACCAATCATGAGGTTCTGAATTCAAACCCCAGTACTGAAAGCCCCAAATTCATCCTACCTGGGGACACATCAAGTCTGAATGTGCCCTGGGTAGTAGGTGAAAAGGAGAAAAGTCACTGTCTCAGGTCACATGGCTTTGGTTATGGTTAATCTAATGACTGTTTGTTCACAGATTTGTTGACTGTTAGTATTGCTTTTAGCCTGGTGCCAAAAACAGCAAATACTCAATAAAAATTGGTCATTGAACAAATTAGTTTTGAGTTCATATCTTTTGTTCATTTAACTTGGGGTGGTTATATTTTTCTTACTTAAAAGAGCTAATTTGGGGGCTGGTGGAGTAGCTCAAGTGGTAGAGCATCTGCCTAGCAAGTGTGAGGCCCTGAATTCAAACCTCAGTATAGCCATATAGAAAATGAAAAAAGAGCTAATTTTGAGAGAGACAGATGTGTATAAAGTTCCTAGCCCAATACATGGTCCTCAAAAAGTGCCTGCTCCTTTCCTTATTATCTTCACATTGTCACTTAAGACTCTGATGGGAGTCAGGCACTGGTGGCTCACGCCTGGAATCCTAGCTACTCAGAAGGCAGAGATCAGGAAGACCAAGGTTCAAAGCCAGCCTGGGCAAATAGTTTGTAGATTCTTACCTCGAAAAAACTCATCACAAAAAAGGCTGGTGTAGTGGCTCAAGGTGTTCAAACCCCAGTATTGTGTGTGTGTGTGTGTGTGTGTGTGTGTGTGTTGTGTGTACGTGTGTGTTACTGGAGAGATAAGGAGAGTAAGACTCAAGTAATTAACTTGCTTGTCCAAGGCCTTAAAAGTGCTGACTCCTGATTTAAAGGGCAGAAGCAAAATAGCTTTGGGAATGTGTGACATGACACTAAAAAGAAATCAATGTTGTTCCTGTAGACGAATCACCTATTACATACACTTCACTCATGAGCATAGCACAGAAAGTGACAAGGTTAGGAACATCACAATCTTTGCTTCCAAGTCCGTATTAAGTCTTATTAAGTCCTAAGGAGCTTATCAAGAATCCTTAGGACTAGTGGAGAGGCTTAAGTGGTAGAGCGCTTGCCTAGCAAGTATGAGGCCCTAGTTCAATCTCCAGTACTGAAAAAAAAAAAAAAACCCAAATAAATTTTTTAATGTTTTAAAAAAGTGTCCTTATAAAGTAAAAAAAAAAAAAAAAAAAGGTAAATACAGCTACTGTGTAAAATTGTATGAGGTCCCTTAAAAAAATAGAATAGAATCACCATTTGATTCAACCACTCCACATCTGGGAATAAAGCTGCAGTCAGTTAGTGGGAACAAGTGATAAGGTGACAGACATGTTAATAACTTGATTCAGTCATCCCACTCTATATGACACACCATGCCTGCCCACCCATAATTAGTACATGATTTTGTCCAAGTCAAATTTTATAGGCAAAAAGTGCTCAGACAGAAAAAGAGATACAGATAATATAGAAAATTCTGAGGGTAAACATTTTTAATATTTGGATTTTCTTCCTGACACCAAACTTGTGGTCTAGCCTGGTGTGGTGCACCACCACCCGCAGCTCTTCAGGGCTCTTATAACACTGGTTAATGCAATTCATAGTTCATTTGCCTTTTTTTTTATTGTTTTATTATTCATATGTGCATACAAGGCTTGGGGCATTTCTCCCACCTGCCCCCACCCCCTCCCTTACCACCCACTCTGACCCCTCCCTCTCCCCCTCATTTGCTTTTTTATGCTGTTGATTTAAAGTCAGCAATTCTAAACTAGGCAAGGTAGTGCATATCTGTAATCCCAGCACTGGTGAGGCTGAGGCAGGAGGATGGAGAGTCAATGCCAGCCTGAGCTACATATCAAGACCCTGTCCCAAAAAAAAAAAAAAAAAATCGGGCACTGATGACTCACAGCTGTAATTCTGGCTACTCAGGAGGCAGAGATCAGGAGGATCAAGGTTCAAAGTCAGCCCAGGGAAACAGTTCATGAGACCCTATCTCGAAAAAACCCAACACAAAAAAGGGCTGATAGAGTAGCTCAAGATAAAGGGCTTGAGTTCAATCCCCAGTACTGCCCCCCCAAAAAAAAAACCTAAAATAAAAAAAATAAGTCTTAAAACATCATCAAAATGGATTAGAATATGGGAAGGTCCAGGTGGGAGGGGTTGTTGTTCCATACCTGCCACATGGTGGCAGCAGAGTGACATCAAACCTAGGTTCTGGGCCCCCGAAGGCTGCCTGAGGCCAGTCTCCATCTGCCCAGCCAGTGACACTCTGCTGGCTCCCTACCTGACTGTGTGACTGGGACCAAGCTAAACCATTCCAATTCCTGACCTAGAGAGACTATGAGGTGATATGTATTTATTGTTTGTAGCTGCTACATTTTGGGGTGATTTGTTACTAGGCAAAAGATAATACACTATATATCATACCATTGTGCCCAAAAAGATTTGAATATGTATTCCTAGAATAAAACTCCCAACCCCCCCTGTCACCCCAGGATTTTGGATTTAACCCATGGCCTCCCTCCATACCTTCATGCAAGGTAAGTGCTCTGCCACTGAGCTACATCTCCAGCCCAACTTTTATTTAAAAAAAAAAAAAAAAGGTGGGCGCTGGTGGCTCATGCCTGCAATCCTAGCTACTTGGGAGGCTGAGATCAGGAGGCCCGTCTGGGCAAATAGTTCTCAAGACCCCATCTCCAAAATAACCAGAGCAAAATGGACTGGAGGTGTGGCTCACACAGTAGGGTGCCTGCTTTAGCAAGTGTGAAGCCCTGAGCTCAAACCCCAGTCCCACCAAAAAAACCCCAAAAAACTAAAATCGCAATGTCACATAGAAAAATTAGAGACTTAATATAATCCAATATCCAGGCAGTCTGGAAATTGGTAAAGGTGCATGCTGAAGTATTTGAAGGGAAGAATTCTCAGATCTATTTGTGATTTACCTTGAAATGCATCAAAAAGAAAACACTAGGGACTGACTGATGGATGGACAGAGGTATGTGTTAGTTCTAACGTACCTTCGCATTTCTGTATCTTTGAAATTCTTCATAATAAATTGCTGAGGGAAAAGTCAATTTGGTTCAAATTTCCAATTGTCTCAAAAATGTCATTAAAAAAATTTTTTTTGATACTGGGGCTTGGATTCAGGGCCTTCCCCTTGAGCCATTCCACCAGCCCTTTTTTTGTGAAGGGTTTTTCAAAATAGGGTCTTATGAACTATTTGCCAGGGCTGGCTTTGAACTGTGATCCTCCTGATCTCTGCCTCCTGAGTAGCTAGGGTTACAGGTGGGAGCCACCAGCACCCCGCTCATTTTAAAATTTTTATTTTACTTTTTTTTTTCATATCAAAATCCAAATAAAGCCAGGGGTGGTGGTTCACACCTGTAATCCCAGCACTCAGGAGGCAGAGGCAGGAGGATTCCAAGTTCAAGGCCAGCTTGGGCTACATAGTGAGACCTGTTTTCAAAAAAAAAAAATCCATATAAGATTCACATATTGAGATTAGCTGGTTTGTAGGTTTTGTGCCAGGCTGGAGGCATGACTCAGGTGGTAGAGCGCCTGCTGACAAGTGCAAGGCCCTGAGTTCATACCTGCGTACCACCAAAAACAAGAAAAGTACGTTCTAAGTCCTTCAAACCCGATACTTTTGTTATCAGCTAATGGTGTTCTCAGAAGATCTTGGAAATGGGACTGGCTGGTGGAGGTGTTGGGAGGTGGGACCTAGTTTGCAGGGTGAAGAACTTGAGTGTGTGGAATGGGGGTAAAATGTGAAGGAGACAAACAACTGACATGCTGTGGAGTCACTTTGGACTCAGTGTCACTTTGCACTCAATGGGAAGCATCAGCCTCAAGTGAGGAGGAGATACGGGGAGTGACCTATGACTCCTTTTTTCTCTCCCATCGCAGGGGACATGGCTGACAACCTTACAAAAAAAGACAGCATAACAAGAGAAAAGCCTAGCAAGTTTATTCAACCAAAGTTTTATGTGACACCACGCGGTCTCCCAACCAGGGAAAGTATTTGTAAGCTTAGCTTTGATGAAGAATGGACAGTGTGACTGGCCACAGCAGGGCATGGTGGGACTTGCCTGTAATCCAGCAAGAGATAGGAGGATCATGAGTTCAAGGCCAGCCTGGGCTATATATCAACATCCTGTCTCAAAAACAACAACAACAAAAAAATGAAGTATGATTGGTCACAAGCAGTTTAAGGATAATAAACTGGGGGTCAGAGTGTCACCCAGCAAGGTGGGTTGGCTCAGATTCTCACTGGCCTGGGTATAGGGCAGGACTCATTTGGAATGAGGTTCTTAGAACCTACTTTCTGGCAAAGTTGGTCAGAGAAGTCCTTCGCCACCATGCTTCAGAGGAAAGGTATGGAAAAGATCAGAGAGACTTTTTTTTCTACATCAATGGTTTTGTCAGTTATCAAGGCCACCTCACTCCAGTCCAAGGTATGTAGATAAAATCTGTCCAGGAATCATACAGCCTCCACATCCGGGCTTTTATGACCTAGAGCCGCCGCTTGGGGCTTTATTGTTTTTTGGCCTGAAGACATAGTTCCAAACTTTTTGGCACCTTGGGGCTTAATGTAGGCACCTTGTCCAGATTGTAACTATGGCTCTCTTGCTGAGAAACGAGTAAGTTTTACTATCCTTTTGGTCCCCTGTGAACTAGAGGGCTATACACAACAAACAGTTCCTTCTGCAAACTCCCCACAACTGGCATGCTGTGAAGACTCCCATCGCACAATCACCCCTCTGGTTGCCAACCGTCTGCTCTCCTGCCTGCACGCTGGAGGGTTCCATATTTAAATATGAGATATGAGCCAGGTGCTGATGGCTCACGCCTGTAATCCTAGCTACTCAGGAGGCAGAGATCAGGATGATTGCGGTTCAAAGGCAGCCCAGGCAAATAGTTCACAAGACCCTATGTCAAAAATACCCAAAACAAAAAAAGGGCTGGTAGAGTGGCGCTAGGTGAAGGCCCTGAGTTCAAATCCCAGAACTGCAAAAAAAGAAAAAATGATGTTGGGATTTGCTTTAAAAATATACCAATTAAGCTGGGTGTGGTGGCTCACCCTGTAATCCCAGCTGTTTGGGAGGAGATCTGGAAGATCACAGCTCCTAGCCAGCCCAGGCAAAAAGTTCACAAGACCCCATCTCAAACAACAAAAAGCTTGGTGTGGGGGTGTAGGCCTGTCATCTCAGCTACTCCGGGTGGCATAACTAGGAGGATCGCCACACACCCAACAAGGTCATAAAGCAAGATTCTACAAAAGGTAATTACAGCAAAAAGATTGGAAGCGTGACTCAAGTGGCAAAAGCACCTGCCTGGCAAAGTTCAAGGCCGAGTTCAAATCCTAGTACCATCACGTAAAAAAAGAGTGGGGAAAAAAAAAAACCCACAAAAATCGGATCCATTATCCCTTTCTTTTTGCTCTTATCCTATCTTTGAAATTTTCTTTGACAAAAAGAATACCTAAATATAAAAATAGTGACCCCAGCTCCGAAAATAATCTTGACTGTGGGCTTGGGGATGTGGCTCAGTGGCAGAGATCTCGTCCAGCCTGCGCTGGGCTCCGGGTTTGAGTCTCAACACTGGCAAAAAAAAACAACAAAAAAAAAACTGGTTTCTGAACTTTACCACTAGAAACAATAGCCCCGTTTTTTCTCTGCAAGTGACTTTGTGAGCTTAGTCACGCCCTGACAGGAGCTCAACCAGTGGTCTCAGCGAGCCGCAGAGCCCTCACGTTACGAAGGGGAAACTGAGGCTCGAAGGTGCAGTCAATCACACTGCAGCTACAAGAAGGATCTGGAAGCCTGGTTTATCTCTGCCTTCCCTGGCTGCCAAATTCCGACCGGCATGGGAGATGGGGTGAGGGTACCCGCGCTGACCCCTGACCCGCGCTGACCTGCGAAGTCGCGGGTGAAACCGTTGTCGCCGTGGCCCCCGCGCGGGGACGGGCCGCGGCTCGGGCCGATCCGATTTGCCGGGCGGAGGTCACGTCCGGCGTCACGCGGTGGGCGTGGCCTGGGACCCCCCGGGGAGCGCGGCGCGTCCTTGGCGCAGAGGGGACGTGACTGCGGCCGAGGACGCAGGATGAGGGCGTTGCGGGTGAGCCCGGCGGGCTGGCGGGCCCCGACCCCGAGGCCGCGGCCCAGGCCCCCCAAGTCCCGGGATCGGGGCCTGGGCTCCCCAACAACGCGAGCATGGAGGCTGCGGGGGTCCCCCGCCCGGCCACGAGCTTAAAGCCCCCCCTTCACCCCCGGCAGCCCTGCACCTGCCGAGGGACCCCCCGTCCTGACATCTCGGGACCAGGACCCCTAGACAGCCTGCTGCCACCCTCCAAGCCGTCCTCTCTGGGCACCAGTCGCTTCTTTTTTTTTAAATTGCTTTGGGGGAGGGGCATATTTGCTTTAATTATTTTTAGGGCCTCACCGTTTTGCCCAGGCCGCCCTAGACTACGACGCTCCTGCCTAGCACCGCTAGCCTAGCTGGCAGGCGCGCGAGACCGTGGCTGGATTATGTTGAGATGGGGTCTCGCTAGCTGTTTTGCCCTGGCTGGCCCCATCTCCGCCTCCGGAGTAGCTGGGATTACAGCCGTGAGCCACCGCGCCCAATCCTCCAGTCGCTTTTTGACAAGAAGCCCCTCCCCCTCTTAAGAGATGCTTGCCAGGTCCCAGCCTCGGAGGCAGCCCAGCCGGACCCGGACCCACGTGGGAACAGGTGCCTCCAACCCACCCACCTCCCACCCCGCAGGTCTCCCAGGCGCTGATTCGCTCCTTTAGCTCCACGGCGCGGAGCCGCTTCCAGAACCGCGTCCGGGAGAAACAGAAGCTCTTCCAGGTGGGCGGGGCGGGGCGGGGGGCCCCGGGGAGCGCGGGCGGGGTCTCACCCCAGTCCCCGATGAGGCCGCCGCAGCACCCCTTTCTCATCTGACACCCCCACTCCCAGGCCGACAATGACCTCCCGGTGCACTTGAAAGGCGGGACAACGGACAACCTCCTGTACCGACTGACAATGGCGCTGACCCTGGGGGGTGAGTGTGGGGTCCCCCTCGGTCTGGGCCGCATGGGGCGGAGGGGCTCCTTGCTACGTCCCGCCTGGGGTTAGCCCTTTGGGACTGGTGCTTAGGGACAGGGTTACTAGGACAGGATAATGTCCCGTGGGGGAAGAAGCTGGGCTAGTGATGGGTTTGGGGTTCAGGCAGGAGTTGAGAACAGAGCCCCTAAACAGGCCCTCATCAACGCCAGGGGGTTCCCACTAGGAGTCCAGTTTGGGATTGAGAGCTTGCTCCTGAACTGGGTTGGGGTCCATGTGGGCCTAGGTGAGGCTCAGAGAGGGGGTTAGGGTCTCATCCTTCACCCCATTTCCCTTTCCCAGGCACTGTCTACAGCTTGTACTCCCTCTGCTGGGCCGCTTTCCCCCACAAGAAGTGAGACAAGAAGATTGGAGAGCCTGGAGAACGTGGGCAGACATCAATAAACTATTGGATTCTTGGGAACCATGCCAGCTCTGACTTCTGTGTGTGCCTGTGTCCCCTGTGTCCCCAGCAGGCAATGGCCTGCAGAAGGCCCAATGACCCAGGCTTTGGTGTCCCTCATGCTGGACCAGAGCTGCTCCTAGGATATTGGCGCGCTCAGCTTCTCCTTCCACCCATCCTAAAGACTCCAGACAGCACCCCTTGCCCCCTTGGGATCTGGGATCCAGAATAGTGTCCTGGGACAGGGGCTTTGTATCCTGGGATGGCAATCCCTCCCCTGCTCAGAGGTATAGCCAAGTGAGGACTGAAGCTGTGATGCTGGGGAACACAGTCAGGGATGGCATTGGGACCTCCTCTAGCCCAGGTCTTATTTTTTTGGCGGTACTGGGGTTTTGAAGTCAGGGCCACACACTTGCTAGGAAGACATTCTTACCATTTGAGCCACTCCATCAGCCTTTTCTCTGTTGGGTATTTACGAGACATGGTCTCAGGAACTATTTGCCTGAGCTGGCTTTGAACCATAGTGCTCTGATTTCTGCCTCCTGAATAGCTAGGATTACAGGCATGAGCTACAGGCACCTGGCCCTAGCCCAGGTTTTAGAAGCAGCAGCAGAGCCATTGGGTGTCTGCATCCCAGTCCGATCCTCCAAAGGACCTGGATGCATCTCAGCCAGAACCAGGGTACAGCTCATCAGGAACCCAGTACGAGGGGGAAAAAAAATGTAGAGAAGAGATAAGCAGGCCCAGTGTGAGGACAGGCAAAGAGACACATAAGCCACCCCCACCCATCCAGACTCCCTCCTCCCTGGAGCCTCAGCCAGCCATCCCTCAACTCTCAGGACAGGAGGCAGACCCCATAGGGAGCAGCAACTGGGGAGCATTTATTTCTTCCTGGGCCTGGCAGGTTGGGAGCAGAGTACAGGCAAAGGCACTAGGGGGTGTGGACCTGAATGGCTTGCAGTTTATTTGACTGCCTGGGTGGTAACTGCCAGGGTGTGTGGGACTGGAGTAATCCTCCCATTACCGAGACAGGGCCCTTGGGACATGGAAGAAACATGAGGCAGTGGAGAGGGTGTGAGGCGGGTGTGGCGGGGTGGGGTGGGGTGACCCTTGGGCAGAGCACTCTAGCATGGTGCAGAGCCAGAGGGAACTCTGGGAGGGGCATGCTACAGCATGTTGGGTCCTGGCTGCTGACTAGAAGATGGGTACCTGGGGCTGGGAGAATAAAAGGGCTGTGGTGAACAGGACGAAGACCACAGGAGATCAGCCCCTGGGAGGGTTCAAGGTGGCTCGATGGCAAGGCGGTGAGGGGGCAGGTCTGGGGGTTCCATTCAGGAATACATAGTCAGTTGCAGCCACTGGAGAGAGGAAGGTGTAGAAGTGAGGAGCAGGAAACCCCAGATGCCTCACCCAGAAGCTACTGGGAAAGTAGGATGGAGAGGGCTGGAACTCAAGCCAGGATGGGATTTCTTACCTCCTGAATGTTCACCTGGATATGTCCAGAGCCGTCTTTGTCAAGAGATTTGAAGGCACCTGGAACAGAAAGGAAGATTTTGGTAAGAAACAGCAGGGGAGGGGGGATGAGATGACTGGCTTTTTTTTTTAATTATAGCATACTAATTATATACTAATAGCCACTACTGCACTGACTCTTACTCTCTGCCAAGCTCTGTGTAAAGTGCTTTGCATGTAGTAATTTAGTCTGGTTCTATAAGATAAATGTCTGGGTTTTTTGGCAGTACTGGGGTTTGAACTCAGGGCTTTGCTCTTGCTAAGCAGGTGCTCTACCTACTGAGCCAATCTCCAGCCCGTTTTGCTGTAAGTATTTTTCAAATAGGCTACCCAGGCTACCTGAACCTGACCACCCTCCTATTCGTGCTCCCCAGCTTAGCTGGGATCACAGATGTGTACCACTGCACCCAGCCATTGGTTGAGATGGGGATCTCACAAACTTTTTGCCCCTGCTGGTTTCAAACCACAATCCTCTCAATTTCCACAGCCAAGTAGCTAAGATTACAGGCTTGAGCCACTGTGTCTGGCTATAAGTGTCATTTTTAAATGAGGCATATGATATTACTTAGTGGTGGAGCAATTCTGCCTACCCTGCATGAAGTCCTGAGTTCATAAATAAGTAGTAAATAAATAGAATGAAACACAGAGAAGTTAGCTGATTGCTGCATGTCACACAGTAAGGAAATGCAGAAATTGGGACTGGAACCCGATCCTAGCCTCCCACTGACATCTTCACATCTTCTCCAGTTCCAACCCAAGCAGGTGGCTCTGCAGACTCTACTTCCCGCCCCTAGGGTTCACTGCGGTCCCCACTCCTGCCATGAAACTCAACTCCATGCTCCCCACCACAGCCAAACCAGGCAAAGAAGTGCCTACACAGGCGTCACCACCCATGGTGTCCTGGACACCACGCTCATTGCCATTACTTTGGGCCTTCTTGCTGGAAAATCCAAGGGCCACTCTCAGGCCTTCTCATCCATGCCTTTTGTCTTCCGCCTACTGTCCACTCCCACTTCCCTTGGCACATCCATTTTTTTGAGACAGGGTCTCACTATGTAGCCAGCTGGCCTTGAACTCTCAATCTTTCTACTTCAGCCTCTCAAGTGCTGAGATTACAGGAGTGTACTACCACACCTGGCTTTCATACTCTGCATTGTCTTCCCTGAGTTCTTGGGAAGCCAAGGGGTCTTCCTAAGCCAAACTGGACCCTGTCCCTCTCCTGCCCAGACCTTTCCATGGCTCTCCAGTGTCACTCAGGGAGTCTGGGCACACCTTGGCCTTGGCACTCATGGCCCTTGACCATGCCCACCATCCCTGCCTCCCCTCACTCTACTCAGCTCAGACCTGAGAGATCTGAGTTCAAATTCCAGTTTACTAGCTGAGTGGCTGTGAGCACGCAATTCTGCCTCCCTGGATCCTAGGTTCCTCATCCATAAAATGGGGCAATAATCCCTGTTTCTCAGGATGCCTTCAGAATTCAGTGCATTGATGCTCTAAATGCCCTCATGAAGGCTGAGGTGTAGCTCAGGGGACAACTTGTGCTTAGCATGTGCTAGCCCTTGGGTTCGGGACAGAGGAAGTGGCTCCCCTGACTTAGTCCCTGTTGACCTTCCTGGTGGTCCTGGCCTCCCTATCCCACCCACCTCTCTTCAGCACACCCTGAACTCACAGTCAAACCATAAGTCTTCTCTTTCCCTTCTAGGGCTTTGCACAGGCTGTTCCATCAGCCTGCGACACCATTCCCTGCCCTCTCACAGGGAAGGGAAGGAGGAAGAGGAGACTCTCTTCCTCCTTCCTCGGGGAGGAGCCCTCCCTGACACCCTGGGCTACGTCAGGTACCTCTTTGGTCTGAACACGCCCCTGGGCTTCCGCCTTCCCCTCACAGCCCCAATTACTCCCACCAGGCTCCTCCGTCCCAGTCACACCAGTCTTAGCTGTCACTCCTCGGTGACTTGTCAGTGGACAAGCTCCAATGCACTATCACCTCCATGAAGGCAGGAACTGGCGCCGTGGCCCTAGCATTGCCCAGCTCAAGGTCAAGTTTGGAGGCACCCTTGTTCCCTGGAGGTTGAACAAATCCCCAACCAGGAAAAGAGCTGCAGCATCACTCACGGAACATGGCATCCAGCCTGACCAAGCAACTGATGAAGTTGTCGAAATCCATGTTCCCGCTCTCGTCTGAGTAGCGCCGGATGATCATGTTGTAGAGATGCTCGTTCAGGTGGAAGCCTGAGAACGTTCAGTCCCTTAGGTGTGGGGGCCACACAGCCCAGTCCCCTCCCAGGCCCCGCTCTCAGAGCCAGACCAGCAAAGTGGGGGCATCTCAACCATCCTGCCACCTGCCACCTGCCACTTCCCTGCCAGCCCCACCTGCTGCCTCAAAGGCCCCTGGGAGTTCATTGCTACAGATGGTCCCTGATCGGTCAATGTCGAACCGTTTGTAGATGGCCTGTGGGGATAGAGAGGACCGGGTCCAAGTGAGCATCATGGGTATGGTGTATCCATGGCTGGGGGGCTGGGTGCTCAAGATCTCAGAGGCTACCACACACCTGCCACTTTTTGATGTTGTTCCACAGGTACTTGAACTCTTCAAAGCCCAGCTTGCCTGTGGTGTCACTCTAGCAGGAGATGGTTAAGGACAGTGTGACAGCTATACCCAGTTCCATGCACTGTACACACTGGGAACATGACAAATAGGAAGCCAGGGAACCTCTGGTGAGTGTGCCAGCTCCATTCAACACCTGTCATGTCACCTGGGGCGTGGTTTTAGTTTTCATTTTATCTACACATATTTCTAAACAAAGACTGTCTTTAAACATAACCATGGGAAATGGTACTGTACTTCTCCACAAATTCCTCATCTGGAGAGAACTGTTAAATTTATAAAGTTACAAATTTATAAAATAGCAACTCAATTTCATAAATGTTAGGGCATGTTACAAAAAATGCATGTCTTGTTTTTTTTTTTTTCTTCTTTTTTTTGTGGTACTGGGGTTTGAACTACACGTGAGTCACTTCACCAACCCTTTTTTATGATGGGTTTTTTTGAGATAGGATCTCACGAACTATTTGCCCAGGCTGGCTTTGAACCAGGATCTTCCTGATCTCTGCCTCCTGATTACAGGCGGAGCCACCAGTGCCCAGCAAGAATGTCTTTAAACTAAGGAAGTACAGCCAGGAGTGGTAGTGCATACCTGTAAGACCAAGCTGAGACAGGAGAACAAGTTTAAGGCCAGCCTGGGCCATACAGTGAGTTAGAGGCCAGCCTGGATTAATAGTGAGACCCTGTTGCAAAAAAAAAAAAAAAAAATGGACAAACAACTCTAAGGAAATAAGGTGGTAGAAAGTACCTCCAAGCTGGTGGAGTGGCTCAAGTGGTAGAGCGCCTACCTAAAAGCATAAGACCCTGAGTTCAAACCCCAGTAAGTACCTCCTGGGTTTGTAAAAAAAACCTAAATGAGAGAGGCTGGGGATACAGCTCAGTGGTAGAGTATGTGCCTCTGGGTTCAATCCCTAGCACCACCAAAAAAACTCAAGACAAACAACTGAGTGACTTTTGGTATAAAGCCCTGACATTAATGAATTCTCACTAAATAACAATGGCCAGAAAAAAAAAATAATGCCAAGATTTATCAAGCCAACTAAGACACTCGATACTGTAGTAAATGACTTAGGAACACCTGTTTTGTCACTAAGCCCTCAGTGCACCAGCCCTACAAGGATTATATCCAGAGAAGGAAACAGATTCAAAACTGGAAAACTACTTAGGACTGTAATGCTGTTATTACCAGGTGTGGTAGCTCACGCCTGGCGTCCCACCCACTTGGGAGGCTGAGATCTGGAGGTTCAAGGTCAGCTGGGGCAAAGAGTTCTCCAGACCCCATCTCCAAGATAACCAGAGCAAAATGGACTGGAGGTGTGGCTCAAGTCGTAGAGCACATGCTTTGCAAGTGTAAAGCCCTGAGTTCAAATTCCATCCCACCCAAAAAAGATCATAACAGCTAATATGTATAGACTACTTACTTTGTGCTACACACTGTGCTAAACCTTTTGAACACAGCGGTGGTTCAGTGACAGCATTATCACCTGTCCCATTTTACAGACAGGGAAACTGAGGGACAAAGAGTCAGTACCCTGGCTAAGGGACAGAGCTTCGAATGTTTTAACCCTGTGTAATATGTATTATGATATGACATATATGTGTGTCCATGTATTCTCCTATGTGGTAAGTGTGCACGTATCCAAGATCTGCTAATAACTAGCCCATGTGCAAATATATATGTGAGTTTCTATGTACATTCCTTCATGTATGTGGAGATGAGCCTGATATGTATGTATTACTCTTTTTTTTTTTTTTTTTTGGCAGTACTGGGGTTTGAACTCAGGGCCTAGCACTTGATAGGCTGGAGCTCTACCTGACCCCCTCTGCCAGCCTGTACCATTTACTCTTACTTGTAACTTGGGACAAATGACTACTTCTCTCTGAGCCTCAGTTTCCTCACCTATAAATAATTGTGTCTGTCAGGGTATCCGTGAAGTTTCAATCCACGAGCCTAAGAAAAGTGCCAGCTGTGCCTGCTGGTGTCCTTATCTGTGGCCTCATGCCTCCAGGTGGGGTGTGTGTTCTCATGTGGACATCCATGCCTTCAGGTATGAAAGCTATACCCTGGCTGTCCCGAACGTGCTCTCAGAAAACTCCTTCTTCACCCAGAGCCTCCCCAGACTGTCCCCAAAAGGATACATCCATCACAGCCACCATGCTGCGACATGTATCAATGCCAAAGCCATCAGTTTTCAGATCCGGATCTGAGGGGAACAGGTTGAAGGTCAGAGGCCAGAGATCACAGCCACCCCAGCACCTATGCCTTGCAACCCTCCCACGCCTTGACCCTGGTCACTCACGTCGCGTCACAACCTTGTTGAGGATGTTCATGAGTTCTGTGGCACTGACCTCCATGTCCTGTGGGCGGAAGTCAGAGGCCGGTGAGGGGAACTAAAAACGGCCTGGACGGGTTAGGAAGGACAGTGGGAACTTTGGGATTGTCACGGTCAAGTGTGTGTACAAGGGCACACCAAGGGACGGCACAGAAGGGTCAGGGCTGGACCAGAAGGCCCTGGTTACTTACATCTCCAGCAAGCTGGGCAAAGAGCCTCCGGAACTGCCGGACCTCCTCACTCTCGTTGGCCTCAATGTTGGAGTAATGGGTGCGTGGGGGCTGCAGGGGGGGCAGATCTCAGGGCACGTATGGGGAAGGGGGCCTAGCTCCCCACACCCAAGCACCCTAAAAGTCAGAGTGGGCTGGGAAACCTGAGGACCAGGAGAGTAACGGGCAGGCAGTGAATGGGACGTGAGACACCCATGCTGACACCCATGCCTGACACCCATGGCTAAGTCTGGGGACTTGGCAAGGGAGAGACTGAATGGCAGAGGAATTCCCTAAGTGTTCGGGGGAACCTCTCTATTGGAGCAGCCCTTGAAAGACTCTGGTTATGGAAGGCAGCTTACCGGGGGCTCGGGGTTGTACTGCGCAGCTGCCTCGCTGAGGGGAGAGAAGGAGGAGTTAGCGCCAGGGGGCGGGGCCTCCAACGGGCAGCGCCAGCAGAACGGCCAGCCAACCCTCACATTCCAGCCCTCCACCTCCCTGTCCCTGTCCTCACCTGTCCCACTGCACACTGGACTAGTCCAGCCCCTCCCTCCCTTCAGCAGACCAACTCCACTCCCACGGTGGAATCCACCCCTGCCAAGGTACATCACCCAGTGGCAGGTGTCAGAATGATGGTGACTCCACTCAATCAAAACCCGAAATCCCACCCAGACTCCACAGGCCCGGTCCCTTAAAGATTCACTGCCTAAAGGCTCTGTCCAGGTCCCTGGGCCTCATCCTCCTGAGGTCGCAGGACCTTACTCCATCTCTTCTCCTGAATGTCTGTCTTCCCAACATCCTGCTCCAGCTCCAGTAGGCCCCACCCCTTCAAGGGATCGCTGCTAGGTGACCAAGGCTAATTAGACACCCACGACCTGTCCTCCCCCACCAGGGCATTTTTCTCCATTAATCCTGCTACTTCTCGACCACGCCCAGCCCTTCATGGGCCATTCTCCTATGCCATTAGGCCTTGACCTCTCCTAGGCCCGGCTCCTCGCTAATGCACCCACAACAGCAGGCCTCACCTATGTCAAGTACTGCCCCCAGGAAGGGTCACCCAGACTCACTGGCTCCGCCCCTTTAACGTTATTCTGAAGTCTAGCTAATGAACGCCACACCCGGTTACATTAAGCTCCACATACCCCAAACCTGGACATGTCTCCTCAAAGCCCACATCCTATTTATCGACCCACACAAGCAGACTACACCCGTGTCAAGCCTGTCCCGATGAACTGACATCAACCTCTTAAGGGGTCCTCCCCTTAAGGCCAGGCTCCCTGGCCTAGATCAGAAGCCCAGCCCAGCCTAATTAAGGCTCCCAAACCGTCTCCTGCTTAATAATCCCATTTTACTCCTGGTGGACCACGCCCCCCAGGCCCCGCCCCTAGACCCCGCCTTACCTGATGGCGCTAATGACTCCGCCCAGGATGCGCATGGCGGTCCCACCGCCTCCTCCCTCCTCCTCCCCCCGCCGCCGCCGCCGCCGCCCCCGGCCCCGCTGATCAGGCCCCCCAGCACATTCCCCAGGCCCCCGCCTGCTCCTCCGCCGCCGCCGCCCTTCAGGAACGAGTTAACCAGGAACATGGCTGCGACTCACACTCCTATAGGGGACAAAGGGGCCAGGTAGCAGCCTCGCCCAGAGCCCGCCCCCTCCTGCAAAAATACGCATTTCCGGCAGCTGGACTTAGGGAAATGAGACTTCGGGGTCGGGGCGTAACATCAGGCAAGGGGTCTAGGGATAGGAGCGGAGGACCAGGTTAAAACCACTTGGGATTTCACAGGTCGGGCTTGACATCCTGGATTGAGTGCATGCATAGGCACCATTAAGAGTAGGGGTAACAGCAGGGCGCTGGTGGCTCACGCTTGCAATCCTAGATACTCAGGAGGCAGAGATCAGGAGGATCAAGGTTCGAAGACAGTCCAGGCAAATAGTTCGCGATACCCTATCTTGAAAAAACTCATCACAAAAAAAAGGGTGGAGTGACTCAAGATGAAGGCCCTGAGTTCAAACCCCAGTACCGCAAAAAAAAAAAAAAAAAAGGGTTACAACCGGGGTGGCTCACGGCTATTAATTTAAGCTACTCAGGAGATAAGAAATCAGGAGGATCGAGGTTCGAGGCCACTCCCTAGCAAATAGTTCTTGAGACCCTATCTCAAAAATAACCAGCACAAAAAAAGGGTTGGTGGAGTGGCTCAAGTGGTGAGCACCTGCCTAGCAAACGTGAGGCCCTGAGCCTGAGTTCAAAGCCAGTACCGCCAAAAAAAAAAAAAAAAAAAAATTAGGAGTGCAGTTCTGGTGAGAGTGCTACTGATGTGGACCCCACATTGGTGCAAGGTGTGCCCGACGTGTCAAGTCAGAAATCCAGACCTCCAGAATTGAATTTAGGGGTCTTGGACGGGTGGGCGGTGCGGCTCAGAGATTCTCAGGGCGGGGTTCAGGAAATTCCTAATATGGGTTTCAGCATTTAGGTCCTCAGCAGCGAGATTACAAATGTCAGCGCTGCCTCTGTGGGGCTCGGCCCTAAAATCGTGGCAGTGCGCCCCGAGGGCCCGGGATAACGGGGTCCCCACTGAAACTGGGGGCGCGGATGTAGAATCGCGGTTCTGAGCGCCTGGAGGAAGAATTTACAGGGTGTCTGTCCAATCTATGGGCCCGTATTTTAGATCATGAGACCGGGGGTAGGAAGGGGTTCCCGGGACGCGAAAACGAGGGTCGGACAAGGCCTTAGGGTTCGGATCTGAGATCAAGGCTCGGGAGAGCCCCAAGGCCGGGACTTTAGGACCCCCCTGGGTCCGCGGGCTGCCGATTCCCGGATTTCGAGGTGCAGGGGGCGTCTGGGGCCTCACTTACCCAGCGGCCCGGCGGTCCTCGGTCTGCTGCTCCGGGCCTCCCGCTGCGTCCGGCTCGGGAGGGCGGGGCCGTGACTCAGACCGCCGCTCTGGGTTAGGAACCCGCGGGTGCCCAGCAGGCATCCGCGCGGTCCTAGAGCCGGCCTCGGACACTGCGCCTGCGCACGGCGGCCACGCTCCGTGTAACGGGAAGCGGGCGCTTGTGGCCGGGCTCTGCGCTTCCAGCACCGCAGGTTCAAACCCTGCCCAGACTAAATCGCGCTTCCAATTTCCGCTCCGGTGCAAGAGGACGCATGCGGAGACTGAAGCTCCGAGGGAACACTCCCGGTGGCAGAGTGTGAATTTTCGCCTGAGGGCCACTTCCACCCGACCACGGTGTACGGTCCGCTCCGAAAGGGACTCGGCAAGCTGCCCCTATTCTTGGCCTGGACCAAACTTAAGAGCACCAAGGGAGCCCGAGTTTCATTGGGCTTACAAGCTGGGGGACAGACGCCTGAATCTGTGACGACAAGCCAGAGCCAGGATTGCTGCTGCCCACCTCACCCATGTCCCTGCACCCCAGGGTTCAAGGGTCACCTAAGTTGTTGCCCCAGTCTCTAAAGACCATATGAGCATAAGTGTTCATATGGTTATTTGAGACCAGGCGTTCGGTATCCCAACCCCGTCCAATTTGTACCTCCAGCCTGGGTGCCCCGCCCTTTTCCTGGGTCCTGGGCAGTTTGGCTGTCTGGCCCTTGGCCACTCTCCTGGGGGCTTTGAAGCTTTGCTTTGAATCCTGGCTTTGTCGCAGGATTTGGACAATCCCAAATCAGTAACTTTTTTTGTGGGACTGGGGTTTGAAGTCAAGACTGCATTTGCAAAGCCTGTACTCTATGCTGGAGCCACACCTCCAGTCCATTTTGTTCTGGTTATCTTGGAGATGGGGGTCTCAGGAACTGTTTGCTCCACTGACCTCGATCTCTGATCCTCCTGAACTCTCAAGTAGCTAGGATTACAGACATGACCCACCAGCACCTGACTCCAAAACAGTAACTTGAGCAGCGATTTTCTCAAATGTACAATGGTTATAGGGGTTGCACCACTCCTTACGAGACCCTATCAAAATTCAGTGATAAACACTGAGTAAGCACAGCTGTGCCTGGAACCCACTTGTATCGCTCAACTGATGGCCTCTCAGTCATCCTAAAATAATGCTTGGATAGCTGCTGCAACTCGTCCTCAGGACAGCCTTGTGGGATGAGTGAAATTTGTTTTCCCCATTTTACAGGTAAGTAAACTGAGGTTAAACCCAGGCAGCCAGGCTCCCTACTCTGTATGCCTAACCACACACTTCAATGACTCTTCAATGATATAATTATTATGATAATAGCTCAAATAACAAGATCACAGTACAGTTGCACCTAATGCCTCCGGAGGGCATGCTGGGGCCCCGCCAGGCCAGGCAACTGCTCTGCAAGCCTTATAGGAGACAAGATGAAACAGGAGAGAAAGGGAGTCTCTGAAAGGCAGGGTCACCGAGGGTGGTGACCGGATTCTGAACCTGGGCTTGGCTGATGGTTAGTCATTTGGTGTGACTAATCCGGATCCCTCTCACCACACCCCTCCCTGTCACACTGAGCCACTTCAGTTCTCTATCCTGTCCTCAGGCTCACTTGCTACCAGGCCTCTGCACAGGCTGTGCCCTATGCCCGGAACACCTATTTGTTTGTTTGTTTTGCCTGTTTAGTCAGGCTTGGGGTGTCAGCTCAAAAGTCTCCTCTTTTAGGAAGTCTCCCTGTCTCCATGCCCCCCACCCAAAAAAAAAAAAAAAAAAAACTCAGTTGAGGATGCTAGTTTCATGCTCCCAAACTTCTTGTAGAACTAAAAAAACCTGCAGCCTGAGGTGGTAGCACATGCCGGTAATCTCTGCACTCTAAGAGGTTTGAGAGTTCCAGGCAGCCTGGTCTGCATAGTGAGGCCCTGTCTCAAAACAAAAACACAAAAACAAAACAAAAAACTCCTGTTTCTCCTAACTCTTCTTGCCCAACACAGCCATGTTGCATTAGTGCTGTCTCCCTGTCTCTTAATCCTGGGCAACCATGTCTTAGGTTTTGATCCTCCTGTCTGTCCACTGATGCCATTGGGTGCCTCCCACACACACATACACACACGTGCATAGCTTTAAATTCCATTTTTAGGCTATCAGCATCCAGATTTCTGTCTTCAGCCCAGACAGCCAACAGCCTGATCTCCAGTCTCCTACATTCTGTCGTCTGTCTACCCACCATCTCTGTGGAGGATAGCAGGGCCGGGGTTTTAGAGGCTGTTCAAGCCTCACACATCCCAACTGAGCTCCTGCCTGCCTCCCAAGCCCACTCCTTAACCAACTTGGTCCACAGCGTCTCTGTCCTTCCAGGGACTGAGAGTAAGCACCACAGCTCGTCCTTTACTTCTGCCTCCTTTACACCCACTCCAAGCTATCAGCCAATCTTACTGGAGCAGGTACAGAATCTCAATTCTTCCTGCCACCCAGGCCTGGCCCTCCTCCCTTCCTCCTTGGCCATTGCACCAGCCTCCTCTCTGGTCTCCTGCTCCCATCTCTGTCCCCCCAGTGTTCCCACCTGCAACCAGAGAGAGTACATGCACACCTGAGTCACATCAGGACCCTCCTGGCTCAGGGCCCTGGCCCAGCCTCACCTCACTCCACCAGAGTCAAAACTCTCACCCCCAGGGGTGTAGCTCAGTGATAGACTGCTTGCCTGGCGTGCGAGGCCTCTAGCCTTGGAAAACAAATAAGTTCTCATCCAGTCACCGAGTCCCTACTGATGTGCCCTGTCACCTCTCTGCCCTTATCTCTGCTCCTTAGGAAGATCCTCTCCTATCGCTTCTCCTTGAGAAGGAGGCCCACTAGCAGCTTCACCTGGATGTTCCCAGCTGAACCCCACAAAGCTCAACAATGGGGCTGTGCAAGCCAGCGGCATCCAAACAGCAGCTCTTCTGGCACATGAGGCTGCAACTCCACTGCCAAGCCTTTCCACCTTAGTGCTACCTCAAGTCTGCATATCCAGTGAGCTCAGGAAAGTCTTCTCAGATCTCTGATACCCTCGTCATCCCTACAGTGCTCTCGTCGTTTATCCCTGGCTGACACACTGTGCGGTTTGCTTGTTTCTCATCTGCCCTCTCCACTAGAATCTGAGCTTTCCAAAGCTAGGGTTCCTATCTGTCTTTTCTTCCTTTCCTTTCCTTTCCTTTTCCTTTCCTTTTTCCCTTCTCCCTTCTCCCTTCCCTCTTCTATTCTCCCTTCCCTCTTCCTTCTCCTTTTCTCTTCTCCCTTCCTTTCTCCCTTCTCTTCCTTTCCCTTCCCTTCCCTTCCCCCTTCTCCCTTCTCCCTTCTCCTTCCCTTCCCTTCTTTCTTCTTTCTGAGATAAGGTCTAGCTAAGAGTAGCCCAGGCTACTCTTGATCCTCCTGCTTCTGTCTTCCAATGCTGGGATTACGGAGGTGTGCCACCATGCCTGCCTGCTCTATTTGCCTTGCTAGGTACTTGGTTCTTCTTTTTTTTTGTTGTTTTGGTGAGACTGGGATTTGAACTCAGGACTTCACACTTGCAAAACAGTTGTTCTACCACTTAAACCACACCTCCAGTTCTGTACCTAGTTCCTTTTTTTTTTTTTTCCAGTACTGGGGCTTGAACTCAGGGCCTACACCTTGAGCCACTCCGCCAGCCTTTTTTTCCTGTTAGTTTTTTTTTGAGATAGGGTCTCAAGAACTCTTTGCCTGGGCTGGCTTTGAACCGTGATCCTCCTGATCTCTGCCTCCTGAGTAGCCAGAATGTACCTAGTTCTTGAACAGTACCTTGTACATTTTAGGTACTCAGTAAATATTTATTGAATGAATGAAATGCTCCATGTGATTTTCTAATTGAATTTTTGGCACTACCAAGGAGACAGTACAACAAGCATTGCTGATACCCCTCACCACTTCCCAGACTCCTTTGAACTCAGGAGTGGTTATATGTCTTGTTTTGGCCAGCAAGTGAGTAGAAGGGTTGGGCATACCACCGCCCTTGCAGAAGCATTGGAAAAAGTGCAGGTCAGGTGTAGGGGTTCACGCCTGTAATCCCAGATACTCAGGAGGCAGAGATAAAGAGGATCACAGTTTGAGGCCAGCCCAGGCAAAAAGTTTGTAGACTCCATCTCAATCAATGGCTGAGCACAGTGGCCTGAGCCTGTCATCCCAGGTACTTGGGGAAACACAAACAAATGAATGGTGACCCATCCAAGTCCAGGCATAAAAGCAAAACCCGATCTCAAAAATAAAAAGGTTGGAGGTGTGGCTCAAGAGAAGAGTACTTGCTAGACTTTGAGTTCAAACCCGAGTACGTCCAAATGAACACACAAAACATACAAATAAATGTTTCCTTCAGCCAGCTGCTGGTGGCTCATGCCTGTAATCCTAGCTACTTAGGTGTCTAAGATCAGGAGGATCACAGTTTGAAACCAGCCTGAGCAAATAGTTGGAGAGACCCCATCTCCAAAATAACCAGAGCAAAATGGACTGGAGGTGTGGCTCAAGAGGTAGAGCGTCTGCTTTACAAGTGCATAGCTCTGAGTTCAAACCCCAGTCCCACCAAAAAAATAGCCATTAATGTTATAGTGGCACCAAGTACTAAAGACAAAATAGGGATGCCTGAGGCTAATGGGACTGGCTGGAGTGACTGCTGTATAGACAGATGGTGTGGATATGGTTTAAGTGCATTTCCAAAGGTTAATGTGTTGCAAGCTTGGACCCCAGTGTGACAATATGGGAATGATGAAACCTTTAAGAGGGGGACCTAGTGTGAAGTAATTAAGTCATTGGGGGTTCTTGGAAGGAAATGATGCATTTTTATTGGGCCTCTGGTTATTTCCCCTGAAGGGGTTGTTTTATAAAAGAGCAAGATTGGCCCCTGTTGGCAATAACGGCGCCAATAGGTTTCAGTTCTTACTGCACCCTTAAGCTTCTGTTTTCCAGGGTCACGGTCCTGCCTGGAGTTTAGCTTGAATCCCCCTTCTGCCCCAACCTCCAATCAGCATGAACCATAAGATCCTAACCAATCTGATCATGCTGAGTCCCACTGAGGGGTATT